CTGAACGGAGCGTTTAAAGTTCTTGTTGTCCTCGCTGTATGTTGTGTTGAGGGGGCTGGCCAAGTCTTCCTCCTGTGGGATCGTGTTCCCATCGGGGGACAAGTGAGAGCAGAGTCCTCTCTCTTCCTTATCCTCCATCTTCTGTAGGTTTCTTAACCCTGAGTGGATGGCTTCCTCGTTGAAGTCCCCGACGTCTCGCCGCACCAAACAAACGTCTTCTCTAGCCTATGGGCTGTTACACATTTTATTTCTTCCTAGTACGGTCAGTCACCTAATTAGAAGTTTTTCCTCCACATGACTGCAAGAGACTTTACACAGAGGAGTAACTTCACTATCTGGAAAGGTACTCGTATTGTCTGTTTCAGAGAGACCACTACGACGTATGATAGTCACTTCTCATACCTGTAGATAAGGGCACCGTAACAGTCAAGAGAGGAGTTGATATCGCTATTGGTGTGTCAGCTATTTGCTCTACCTAGAGTCTACCTGTAGGGTATTCCGGGGATCAATGCCCCCGCGGCCCGGTCCACGACCAGGCCTCCTGGGAGGTAAAGAAGCACGTTGTATAGCAAGGATTCACCGGGACAACGTTTCTGTGTATGTAGATCATTATTAAGTCATGACTTGTAAAACCTTGGCACAGAGCGGACCGTTGTCCCAGTCAAACCTGGTTCTGCAACTTATGTCTTCCCTTTACTATTATGGGCGGAAAGCTATTTGAATGTTATTAGGGTCGTAATGTACTGCCTATATAACTATGTGTTCACTCACAGGAAGAGTGGCACTGCGCAGTAAACTCACCCCTTGGGGCAAATACCCAAAATCTTTCTTCTTTCTGCTAAGCAGTGTGCTTCAGGAACCCGAGTCACAAGCACGATTACAAACCTAAATGCGGATTTTATCGCTACACTGTTAATCACACTTAATGCGGAGCTGAGGCTGTGAGGGAGCTGAAGATACTTCTGGGGCTGCACTAGAGCTCATGAGAAGCTCTGCTGCTCACTAGTGACCCACAGACACAATGCCACCACGATGACTGCTGCTGGTGGGGGAGGTTTTAGTGGTGGATAGAGGTGGTGGAATGGGAGGGGAGGTGATAGGGAGGGGGACGATTTGGTGGGGAGGGTACGGAGAGTAGGGAAGTTTAGGGTAGGGGGAGCAAGGTGGGGGGGGGGATGCTTGAAGGTGGTGTTAATAGTGAAGTTGGAGACGCAACATATGTCGTAGTGACTAACCTCCCTCCCTCAACCCCCAAGTCTATCACCCACTCCCCCGCACCCCCTTCATTTTGACACATTCTAGTCTTCTTTTCTACATCAAGGTTGTAGTGAGTTGTGCTGGCCGGGTGCGAGTCTTTGTCTGGTGTGAGTGTACGTCTGCAACACACACACACACACATATGTATATATATATATATATATATATATATATATATATATATATATATATCTATATAATATATATATATATATATAATATATATATATATATATATATATATATTATATATATATAAAAAGCGAAAGAGGGAGAAAGATAAAGATTGAGAGAATAAGACCCGTGAAAACAACAAAACAAGGAAATGCTCGAGATATAAGAGAATATATGAAGAGAGGGAAGACTCGCGAAATCGTAATGACACGACTGCACAAAAACCATACCACGGGTGGGGTTTGAACCCTAGTTTTAAGACTCTGACCGCTGGTTCAAACCCCACCCGTGGTATTTTTTTTTTTTTTTTAGAGAGGGAAGGTACATGACGACAGATAGTAGACAAGATGCGAGTACGTGGGAGAGAGTGATAAGAGATCCATCTCGTGCTATAAATCTAGGTTAACTGTTGAGAAAAACTGATCTGCTTTCTACACTTACTCTATTTCCACCTAGGGAAGATGAAGTCAAGGAAATAAAACAGAAGGCTCTCCTCCCCCCCATCACCTCGCACTTCCTCTGGACACACTGCCCACTGGAAGAAAAAGTGGATGAAGGGAATCATCAAAACATGATGATTTAGTATGAAAACTATGGCAATAGGTTTAGTTTTAAGATTATAAACCTTGCTTCTTCTTTTCCCCACATTATCTGTCTCTCTTTGCATCATAGAGACAATGTGATATCCACTGAGCTGACTTCGTCACGTCATCATTATAAGTTTATGTGTGATGGAAGTATTTATACTTCAGTAACATCAACATGGATGACCTCATGGCATGAGGTATTCGTGTAGATGAGAACATAAGAACATAAGAAAGAAGGAACACTGCAACAGGCCTACTGACCCATGCGGAGCAGGTCCATGTCCCCCCATCCGGATTAGACCAATGACCCACCCCCGGATTAGCCCAATGACCCACTCAGCCTGGGGTTACCTCCACTCAAAGATGGAGCACTGCACCAGACCCAGCAGCACAAGCTAGTCAGGTCCAGCTCACACCCACCCACACCCACTCATGTATTTATCTAACCTATTTTTAAAACTACACAACGTTTTAGCCTGAATAACTGTACTCGGGAGTTTGTTCCACTCATCCACAACTCTATTACTAAACCAGTACTTTCCTATATCTTTCCTGAATCTGAATTTTTCCAACTTGAAACCATTGCTGCGAGTCCCGTCTTGGCTGGAAAATTTTCAGCACGCTATTTACATCCCCTTTATTTATTCCTGTTTTTCATTTATACACCTCGATCATATCCCCCTAATTCTACGCCTTTCGAGAGAGTGCAGATTCAGGGCCCTCATTCTATCCTCATAGGGAAGATTTCTGATACATGGGATCATCTTTGTCATCCTCCTTTGTACGTTTCCCAGAGCATTTATATCCATTCTGTAATACGGTGACCAGAACTGTGCAGCATAGACTAAATGAGGCCTACCCAAGGATATATAGAGTTGAAGAACAACCTGAGGACTTCTATTATTTATACTTCTAGATATGAAGTCAAGAATTCTGTTAGCTTTATTGCGAACACTAATGCACTGTTGTGTTGGTTTTAGGTTACTGCTAACCAGAATTTTTAAATCCTTAAGATCTACATTATTTAGTTTATATGTGGCATGGTTATTTAACTGTCCAACATTTAGAACTTTGCATTTGTGGAATGCATTCATGGCTAATTCTCTAGCATGCCACAACTCTATCTTGAGAGATTAGTTTTATATTATACTAGAAGAGGTCCCAAGTAGTTTTGACCTAGAGAGAGAGAGAGAGAGAGAGAGAGAGAGAGAGAGAGAGAGAGTTGACCTAGAGAGAGAGAGAGAGAGAGAGAGAGAGAGAGAGAGAGAGGCGTTGGAGGCAGGCCAATTGCCAGAAAGACTGCGGAATAAAGACGCGTATAGCAAAGAAAACACCTTCTATTTATACAAGGTTCCACTCACTTAGTAACTAGGGGATGGATAAAGCCCCAAGTCACCCAGTGGGTTGAACCTCATACAGATATCGGATTCTTCTTGTGCTCTTTACCTGCTTACACCAGCACATCTACAAGGAAAATAGTGAATGTTTTGTCTCATTGCATTAAAAAAAAATCTAACAACTGGCAGCAATGAAGTACAAGCTAAAATCCCGGAAGGAGACTCTTGAAGGACCTGGAAATAAAAGTCGTTCGTGTCCCTGGAGACAGAAGGAGCAACCGGAGAGAAGGTTAGCTGGTCCTAGTGGCTCCAGCTCTCCTGGTGGAGCAGCTGGGGAAGAGCGGCTTCATCAACGACAGCTAGCATGGGTAGAGAGAGAGATGGTTGGTCTGCACATTCCTAAACTGTAAGAAAGTATTGGATACTATGAAAAATAAGAGTGACCCACAAACTAGAAGAACAGGGAGTTACTGCCTCAGTATTAGGTAGTCTAGGGCAGGAGACTTGTCACTGTCAACCCCTCGGCTATGTTGGATCATCTGACCACAAGGCTGATTTTACGACACTTAAGACCAACAGAACGAGGTGAGGAGTCCACACGCACAACCTGGCTATGGGAAAGAGGTAATTGGCCAGCCCTCGCTCTGACACGCCACCAAACCATTGGGAAAACCGTTAAGACCATCTAACCGTAATGATCTGCCTTGCACTTCGCCGCAAAACACGTATATTCTGTGTGAATTGGGCAGCAAAGCGCAGAGCCACGACAATTCGAGTGTCTTAGGGTCGAGTCGTGTCCCCATTGCCGATAATGGGAACTGTTTAGGAGGAAGTCCCCGGAGTGTGGTGGGCACTCACAGCCTGGAGACGGCAAACTCCTACTGATGATGCAGCCCTGACATGTGACAAGCACCTTTCCCAGCAATCGGGCCCTCCCAGCCTGACTGTTTTGTAGCCAGGGCTGCACAAGGTTTGGGGCTGGAGCCGCAGAGTCTCCCATTCGGTGATGGCACTGGCATAGCTAAGGGTCTCTATTCCCGCTGAGTCCACGAGGATCGGTAAGAATTTGTCTTATCAACTCGTGTGATCTATGGAAGAGGAGAGGAAAGCTGGTAAAGACAAATCTGAGATCTGCGTACGCCTAGCCCTCCCTAGCCCCGTAAGTGTGTGTTGTGTGTGTGTGTGGTGTGTGTGTGTGTATGGTGTGTGGGTTGGGGGGTTTTGGGGGGGTGTTGTTGTGTGTTGTGGTTGTGGTGTGTGTGTGTGTGGCTGTGTTGTGTGTGTGTGTGTGTGTGTGTGGTGGGTGTGGGTGTTTGTGGTGTGGGTGTCTGTGGGTGTGTGTTAGAGAGAGAGAGAGAGAAGAAGAGAGAGAGAGAGTAGGAAAAGAGCTGAAGATCTTGTATTTCCTCCCCCCCACACTAGCTGCCATAACATCAAGGCTAACATTAACCTGTTTAAAGCATTATAAAGACAGGAAGTTAGCAGCTCAGCTTGGGCGTCTGGACACACACAAGGTTTTAGTACACCAGGAAAAACAACATTCCACTAATCTACACTTATTTACTTTGATATGAAGATTATTATTATATCTCCGCGTCAGGCTGAATCTTTGAAGAGTTATACAGCGCCAGTGGAGGGGAAATATTCTGTTTGATTCGAGGCAAGGCAGGATAACTACTTATTTAGATCAGAGCCGTTCCACCAGTATACTTCGAAGTGAGGAAATTAAAACTCAGGAAATCGTTAAAAACACGATTACAAACTAATCGGGGACGGGTGGGGTTGGCACCGATGACCATGAGTCACTTGCCATGGTAGTCAGTCCACCGTTCCTTGATTTGGGGGGAAATTAAGAAAAGAAGTACAGAACTTTACCTGAACGGAGCGTTTAAAGTTCATGTTTGTCTCGCTGTATGTTTGTGTTGAGGGCTGCCCAAATCTTCTCCCTGTGGGATAGGGTTCCCAATCGGGGACACGGTGAAGCAGAGTCCTCTCTCTTCCTTATCCTCCATCTTCTGTAGGTTTCTTAACCCTGAGTGGAGGCTTCCTCGTTGAAGTCCCCGACGTCTCGCCGCACCAAACAAAGTCTTCTCTAGCCTCATGGGCTGGTACACATTTTATTTCTTCCCTAGTACGGTCAGTCAACCTAATTAGAATTTTTCCTCCACCATGACTGCAAGAGACCTTTACTCAGAGGAGTAATTTCACTATCTGGAAAGGTACTCGTATTGTCTGTTTGCAGAGAGACCACTACGACGTATGATAGTCACTTCTCATACCTGTAGATAAGGCATTCCGTACACAGTCAAGAGAAGGAGTTGATCTCGCTATTGTGGTGTGTCAGCTATTTTGCTCTACCTAGAGTCTAACCTGTAGGGTTATTCCCGGGATCAATGCCCCCGGCCACGTCCACGACCAGGCCTACCTGGGAGGTAAAGAAGCACGTTGTATAGCAAGGATTCACCCGGGACAACGTTATTCTGTGTATGTAGATCATTATTCAGTCATGACTTGTAAAAACTTGGCACTATAGCGGTACCGTTGTCCCCAAGTCCCAACCTGGTTCTGCGCTTATGTCCTTCCCTTTACTATTATGGGCAAAGCTATTTGAATGTTATCAGGGTCGTAATGTTACAGCTATATAACTATGATTCACTCACGAGGAAGAGAGGTGGCACGGCGCGCTGAAACTC